GGCTGAACACATGACTTCATCTCTATGAAAACTTGCTTATTGATTCTGATTGGATCTAATGTTGTAGAGCAACTATCAAGGAGCCACAAGCTAATTTTGGCACGGAATAATTTCCATAGCTTTTTTTTCGGAGAAACGCCTCGCAAATACGGCAGGCAGATTTTGAATCACTATTTGAGGGTGCACTTATTTGTTAGACTACTTCCTATGGCCAAAATTATTCGGTTCACTTACGCAATCCTTTGCCCTTGCACAGGTTCGTATAAAAAGTTATTTTTTTGCATAAGCAAAGTGGCAATTGAAGTCTGTTAGGTTAATAAGGTGCAAATTAGATAATTCTATATCGATTTCTAATTTCTAGTTTTTTTCTTCCCAAAAATGGTGAAAATTTGCCACAACCCATTTTATCTGTCTGACTCTCTGAATACAGTCCAATATTCATTTCGACTGCATTTTTTCAGAAGTCTGTGTTTTTTCTTTGATTATGATTAAAACCGCAAGCCTAAGATGAGGACAAAAATTAGCTTTGTGAAACTAGCGGGAGAGTGTAGAGTCATATTTCTGCCACTTGATCATATTCTCAATTACATCAGCTCATCTTGGAAGACTGCGAAAAAATTTTTCCTTTAAAAAATGAGAGATTGACACGAAGATAGATTTGATTTTACCAGGTAACAATCCGCAACTGTGCTTCAGCTTTACCGACAACTTTCTTCTCATGCATGACTGTAATTTAATGTAATAGTTTTGTAATAATAATTAATACTTAACAACTGTCCATCTTCTTCTTAAAAGCGAAGTAAGCATAATGTTTTGCAAGAAGGTTAGGCTATAGGTGGGGTTAAAAATCAGAAGTCTCAGATTTCGGACTTACGCATAGTTAAGATATGGGTTTTGTAGCACAGGAGTTGTTCTGTTGCTAAATTGGAGAAATTGACCTTTTATTTGGCTAAAGCGAGTTTTTGCAAAAAATTAATGCCAGGAATCGTTTCCTATGTTAAATAGTAATGGATAACTCGTCTATGATCTTATATTACCTATTGATACTGTCCCGCATTTGTTCTACTTCCTCGATCGGTGTATATACCGACTTACCCAACATATAGTCAGTTGGTTTCGCTCTAAAAACATAAAATTAACAGAATATTGATTAGTATTGAT